CACTATTGATAATTTCATTACATAAATTTTCATTGATAATCATAACAAGCAAATATAAATTATTTTTTAATGTTAAATGTTACTTATTATTTCTATTATATTTATGTGGAATATGAAAAATATGGGCAAATATAATTTCAAATACCCTCGTTTCGTAAGAACAATTGGACTAAAATAGTAAATACACATTTACAGAAGAAATGGAAAACATTTGTAATAAAAAGTTTGCTTTTAAAAATTTCTCAATTATAGTATAATTAAATTTTTAAATTTTTTTTTTTTTTTTTTTTTTTTTTTTTTTTATCATTAATTTATGTATAATATTAATGTTTGAACTAAAAAAATTATTTATTTATTCATTCATCAAGAAATATATTTATTCATTGGAAAAAATAATATTCAGCAGATTTGATCGAAAGTGAAAAAAATTATTTATTATTAGAAGAATTATTTTAGAAGAGCAGCTATGTATTAGTTACAAAATTCAACTGGAAGAATTAAATTTACGGACAGTGTTATAAAATTATATGTAAGTTCAATAAATTTAATGTCATTTAGTAATGTAATAAAATGAAATTGAATTCATGAAATAATTTATGTAATATGTTGTAGCTGTAGTAAATTAAAATATGTAAATAATTTTTAACATAATTACGATATAATGTTTGAGGCATAAGTATTAAAAAAAAAAATAAATAAAAATAAGTCAACAAATTTTGTCTGCCATGTTAAAATTATGATACGAAAAGATGTTAAAAATATTATTGATGATAAATATTAATAGAATATGTTTATAGAATATTAAATCAGTAAAATACGAGCAGTAAAATAAGAAAGTCGACCTACTTAATCGTATGTCTATTCGATTAAGTTATATCAATTTTTTTAATTGAAGCGATATCTTTGTGTTAATCGTTATATTGATGAATATAAATAATAACGAATGATTTTCTCTAATTCTATCGAAAATGAAAATGTCACTATTTCAAAATTTTGTCAAACTTTATATTCATTAGAAATTGCTATTAATTGAAATAATTAATATTTGTAATTCGTGTTATTGATATGCTTGACGATATTTTCATTAATTCTTAAAAATATACTTATTTACTTACTTATTCTATTTATTCAATATTTTATTTATTAATGATTTTTTAATTAAAATTAAAACAAATATATATTAATAATAAATACCTATTGGGCACGTCAGAATTTAATATTATAAGTGATTCTTTATGTATAATATCACTTGAATAAAAATTAATTAAAAAGAAACATTTTAGTGAACGAGACATCAATAGATGCTCGAGATACTTTTGATTTCTAACGTTCCTAGAGAAATTGGTAAGTTAGTTTTTTTCATGGTGCTGAGGAACTAAAATTAATACGAAGGAGCATTAACTTTAAGGAAAGTAGCTTAAAATTTTTTTTAAACAAATTCGAGAGACCAAAACTACTAATAAATAGCACTTTTAAATTAACATTCAAGCTAACTCTGTAACTAGGATAATTAATCCTCCTATTGCGCTTATCATATTGCCACGACATTTTATTTAAAGTTACATGATAAATGCTTCGATCAATCAAATAAATTATTATCAATAGCTTTTTGAATAATCATGCTTTATATATAAGACTTTTATTTTTAACCCTACATAGATAAACAGCACACGCAACATCAAAGAATATCGGCACTACAAATTCTGCTTATATTCAATGAAGGCTTCACATAAATAAATACTATATTCGTAAGATTATTGCTCTAAAAGCAAATTAAACGGCCAACTAAGTTTTATTTAAAGTTACTTTATTTATATTATAAGATATAGTATAAGATACTTTATTTAATGTTTAAGCATGTTTAAAAATATGTATAATTTATGTAGAATTTAATGAACTTTTACATACAATTATTCAATCGTTACTACGTATAAACACGGAAGAAAGATTTAAAGATGTATACCAAAATATATAACACCAATAACACCAAAATATATAAGGGAAAAGGAAATAAAATGATAGAGAGAGAGAGAGAGAGAGAGAGAGAGAGAGAGAGAGAGAGAAGTTTTGAAAACAAAAAACCAATGATAAGCTCTAATTTGTTTCTTAAAGAATAAAGAGGAACACCTCGAATCCATCAAGGCACAGAGAAGAAATTTCAATTTAATTTAAGCGATAGTCGAGCATTATGTCGCCTCACCTATACTTTCTACGAAAAAATTCTCCTTAATTCAAACTAAATTATAAACATAAAAATAAACCTATTGCACAATTATCCCTTCCGAAAGTCAATTTAATATCCCTCAGAATTAGTACTGCGAAAAGGAAATGCAATCATTTGCTTCGGTTTATCTCCCCTTAATACTAGTTCTCTTTAAGGACATTATGATAGTCGGTATTGATATAAATGAAAAAAAAAAAAAAAAAAAAATTAAATAAATATAACAATGATTCGTATAAAGAAATATCAACTATTAAATAAAAGTCCAAATTCAAATAAAAAAGATATACATGTACGATTTCTTTATTACATCTGAAAGAAAAAAAATCGATAATAAATGAAGAACTATTAAAGTATCAATCGTCTGTAACATCTGGAATTTTCAATATAAGCTCACGTAATTAGATGTGTGGGATTATTAAAAATAAATCAAAACAAAAATAATAAAAAAAAAAAAAACAGATTTAATGCTATTATCGGCAGCACATATTATGTATTGATGTATAGATAATAGAAAAGTATTTATGGAGTATTAATATGAAATCAATAAAAAAATATTATGTTACATAATATTTTAAGTAATTGAGTATTTAAATGTGATGTAACCATCCTACCGGATAAATGCAGGAAATATTTATATAAATTTGAATAAATTTAAATATATGTACAAAATTCTAATATTAAATTAATTTCTACAATAAGAAACTATAAGAAAGAAATTATTAATATTTTAATGTAATAATAAAGATTTTAAACATAACATCGATCTAGATAATATTCGCTACGTAATAAATTTAAATATTCTAATAAATCTTGGAAATTTAAGTGTATGATTAGCATTGTCATCTTCATTAAAATTTTATAAGCGACCCAGCATTAAATGAAATTTTATGGCATATATTGATAAACATGTAGAACGTTATTTAATAATGAATAAATAAAAATCTCTAATTATACCTAAAATATTATTAAAATAATATAATGAATATTAATACTACTGAACCGGCAATTTTAAATTGTAATTATATAGAGAATTGGGACTAACGTACAAGAAATTAACTTGATAACATTTCATAAAAAAATTAAATGGATTTGTTCATTAATACTATTTTTAAATTCATGGTTAAGCATTTCATGATATACTCTATATAGAAATAATTTAATCAATATTATAAGTAGTTTGAACAGATTATATGAAAAATTTTTATTCTAAATGATAAAACGATTGTAAAGCGTCTTAATTAATAAGATTGATTAGGCAATATTATAATTTAATTCCTACCATAAATATAAAAAAAAAAAATGCTGCTGTGTATAACGGAAATAATAAGTGTACAAAAACAACGAAGCACGTAAATAAAACAAAGAAGAGCGCAATACTATGTAATTGAAAGTATATTTTTTAATTTGTCATACTATTTTTAAAAGCTTTTTAAATGAAAATAAATTGTTACTTTACCAAATTCAATTATGACTAATAGTAAGATATTGTGCTCATTTATTACAGATTATTTTCACTAATAATAATTAATACTTATAATGACATTAAAATACAGGAAGAATAACGATATTGTATATATAAATTTAAATGAGTAATGTCACCTTGGCGGTTCAACATCCTAAACAATAAATTATATTTTGATTTATATGAATAACTTTTCTAATTTGCATATTATATAATCAATGACAATAATCAAATTTCGTCTAAACTGATATATAATATGGGAAATTAACATTTGTATTAACAAATATAACCTTATTAAATTAATACTGGGAATATTATGTTTTTTTTTATACCATTAATATAAATGACAAAATATACATAAATTAAAAAAATTAAATTTGTATTTGTAGTTATTATAGTTTTGATTGTCAAAATTAAATCACATTTTCTTATTATTTTTTTAAATATTAGTTTAATAACATTAATTTTATTTAATTAATCTTAAATTAATATGCCTTTATAATATTCATCAATTTACATTCAATTATTTTTTCATTTTAATTCTAAAACATATGCAATCATCATTTATGTTATGATACAAAATGTTATAAAATTAAAAAAATATACTTTGAAAACTATATGTTAAAAGTAAAACTTTCAAAAATTTTTCAAGTTTTCTAAAAAGAATTATAAAAACTGCCCATTACATTTCTTATTAGAAATTTTTATTCATTTAGTTTTTACTTATTTATTAATTATTACTTATCATAATGTAATATTGTTATCGTTTAATACTTATTTGTACAAAAATCTCTATTTTTCAAGGAAGTTTCCGCAGCGTGAGCCATGTCTACTGACTACTAACATATTTACTAAAAGAATAGACATTTGTATTAGTATCTCATATGTGTTAATATAAATTGAAATATCAAAATTTTCCATCATTCAACCTACGAAACAATAGTTTTCCTAAAAATAATATATATTTGTATCTTTTTAACTTGTACTTAAAAAATTGCTTGGAGCCTTGCTTGGAACCTTACTTTATCTTCTGGAATTACAGTAATTGTTATTTAATTGATTTATATATGATTTCATTAGATACGAATTAATTAGAATACCTAGAATGTAATAGATACGATTAACTTATGTAACACATATATTTCAATCCATGTTATATAATTATTCAGTAATCCCTAAACATATTTATAACCAGTTAACTGAAATAATTAAACTGTAGAAAATACATCGAACCTCAATTTGATTTTAAAGAATTTTTAGAATATTTTAATATAAAGAATTTTAAAATTAATCAACATTTTCTATTAATTTTAGTATGGAGTGTTCCGACGCACTAGAACGGGGCCGAAACTTTCGACTACTTGCAGCTGATGAATTACCTCAACTCTTAGACTTCCTTGCTACTTATCTACCTGTTTCACTTAAAGTAAGTGCATCAATACTAAAACAACCTTCTGAAAATCTTTCAGTTAATACAATTAGTCAGTATTTATTAGTATATCACGACTTAATTAATAAATTTAAAAATTTCAAAAATTTATTCCTATAATTTTTTAACATAAATTAATTTTATTAGTACCTAATGCGTCTGTAATTTGAATAACGAGAATTTTGAATTTCCAATAAATTAAGGTAAAGTTTTATTTTATATTATAATCTGTTATGAAATATTTTATAATTTATATGACTCTAATTTATATTATAAATATTCGTATATATAATACTAACATTTCACATTATTGCTGTTGAAATTAAAATGTTTATTTACATTTAGAAATATAAAATTTGAACAGTTTAATATAAAAATTAATTACAATTTTTTACTCAATCAACTGTGTTTCAGAACGCATACCCACTTTTCTTAAAATTTTATTTAACGATCATTTCTGAAAGATCATTTAATATAAATATAAAAAATACAATATAATATATAACTAAATTCGTAATCTATTTTTTTATTTTATATATTATTGATTTACTCTATTATTAACTCTCGATCGTTTTTTCCTTAGAAAATAGAAAAAAAATCAAACTTTATATCATTAAGGAATTATTTCTCTTTTGCTAAATAATAATCAAATTGATAAGTTAGTATTAAGATTGATTTTTTAAATATACAACATAAATATAATATTTTAATGGAATTTGGTGATAATTATTTCTAAATCATATATTAGAAATGTTAATAAAAAAATTATATATATATATATATATATATATATATATATATTAAACATAATTCAATAAAAATGACTATTTGTTACAGATTACTTGACTCTGAGAATATTAAATTATTTAAATTATAACGAGATGTTTGAAAGCAGCTCATCTGGATAAATCTAAAATAAATAAAGTTTTATATAAAAGCTTTTTTTTTTACTCTACGTTCAAACTCTACTCTACTCCACTCTTTGTTAACAAAAAGAAAATTATAATTTAGCGATGGAGAAATACTATCGACACTTTTCTGCAATCTGCCTCTAACTAATGTCGATGTCTTAAATTAGTTTTTAGATCCATTTTACTTCAGTTCTCATCTTTTAAATAATGTCGATGCCTTTCGTGCGAAACGTTTTCTCTCTACTTTCTTCCCACCAACAGTTAACTGACTATTTCATAAAAATTCAGAAAAAAAAAAAAAATAATATATTCTCAGCTTGTATTCTCAAGTGAAATCGTTTATGCGTGAGCTTAGAGAGGTGAAAGAAAAAAATATTTTACATTAAACAATAAACATCGAAAATAAACTAAAGTTTCAAAACAAATCCGATGTTTTTATGAAATATAATAGAGAAAAAAAAATAGATATAATAAGTTAAATAAAGCATTTAAAAAATAGTTCTTACCGATTACAGATATATGTTTATCATTAGAAAGAAAATATATAATTCTTCAAGTCTATAAAAGTACATCAAGTCATAATACAAAAATAATAATGTATCTGCGAAATCTATTATCTACAATAATTAAGTACGTAAAAGTAAATTTTAAATAAAATAAAGTGGAAATAATAATAAATTATAATTTTCTACGGTAAACGAATAACTTTTCTAATTTGCATATTATATAATCAATGACAATAATCAAATTTCGTCTAAACTGATATATAATATGGGAAACTAACATTTGTATTAACAAATATAACCTTATTAAATTAATACTGGGAATATTATGTTTTTTTTTATACCATTAATATAAATGACAAAATATACATAAATTAAAAAAATTAAATTTGTATTTGTAGTTATTATAGTTTTGATTGTCAAAATTAAATCACATTTTCTTATTATTTTTTTAAATATTAGTTTAATAACATTAATTTTATTTAATTAATCTTAAATTAATATGCCTTTATAATATTCATCAATTTACATTCAATTATTTTTTCATTTTAATTCTAAAACATATGCAATCATCATTTATGTTATGATACAAAATGTTATAAAATTAAAAAAATATACTTTGAAAACTATATGTTAAAAGTAAAACTTTCAAAAATTTTTCAAGTTTTCTAAAAAGAATTATAAAAACTGCCCATTACATTTCTTATTAGAAATTTTTATTCATTTAGTTTTTACTTATTTATTAATTATTACTTATCATAATGTAATATTGTTATCGTTTAATACTTATTTGTACAAAAATCTCTATTTTTCAAGGAAGTTTCCGCAGCGTGAGCCATGTCTACTGACTACTAACATATTTACTAAAAGAATAGACATTTGTATTAGTATCTCATATGTGTTAATATAAATTGAAATATCAAAATTTTCCATCATTCAACCTACGAAACAATAGTTTTCCTAAAAATAATATATATTTGTATCTTTTTAACTTGTACTTAAAAAATTGCTTGGAGCCTTGCTTGGAACCTTACTTTATCTTCTGGAATTACAGTAATTGTTATTTAATTGATTTATATATGATTTCATTAGATACGAATTAATTAGAATACCTAGAATGTAATAGATACGATTAACTTATGTAACACATATATTTCAATCCATGTTATATAATTATTCAGTAATCCCTAAACATATTTATAACCAGTTAACTGAAATAATTAAACTGTAGAAAATACATCGAACCTCAATTTGATTTTAAAGAATTTTTAGAATATTTTAATATAAAGAATTTTAAAATTAATCAACATTTTCTATTAATTTTAGTATGGAGTGTTCCGACGCACTAGAACGGGGCCGAAACTTTCGACTACTTGCAGCTGATGAATTACCTCAACTCTTAGACTTCCTTGCTACTTATCTACCTGTTTCACTTAAAGTAAGTGCATCAATACTAAAACAACCTTCTGAAAATCTTTCAGTTAATACAATTAGTCAGTATTTATTAGTATATCACGACTTAATTAATAAATTTAAAAATTTCAAAAATTTATTCCTATAATTTTTTAACATAAATTAATTTTATTAGTACCTAATGCGTCTGTAATTTGAATAACGAGAATTTTGAATTTCCAATAAATTAAGGTAAAGTTTTATTTTATATTATAATCTGTTATGAAATATTTTATAATTTATATGACTCTAATTTATATTATAAATATTCGTATATATAATACTAACATTTCACATTATTGCTGTTGAAATTAAAATGTTTATTTACATTTAGAAATATAAAATTTGAACAGTTTAATATAAAAATTAATTACAATTTTTTACTCAATCAACTGTGTTTCAGAACGCATACCCACTTTTCTTAAAATTTTATTTAACGATCATTTCTGAAAGATCATTTAATATAAATATAAAAAATACAATATAATATATAACTAAATTCGTAATCTATTTTTTTATTTTATATATTATTGATTTACTCTATTATTAACTCTCGATCGTTTTTTCCTTAGAAAATAGAAAAAAAATCAAACTTTATATCATTAAGGAATTATTTCTCTTTTGCTAAATAATAATCAAATTGATAAGTTAGTATTAAGATTGATTTTTTAAATATACAACATAAATATAATATTTTAATGGAATTTGGTGATAATTATTTCTAAATCATATATTAGAAATGTTAATAAAAAAATTATATATATATATATATATATATATATATATATATATATATATATAGTCCATTTATTTTTTTTACATTTAAAGGATGAAGGATCATTAAATGTATGAATTAAAATTATATCATTTGAAATTTCTTGTATGAAAATATCAAAACAACTTTCGCTTCTCGCCTTTAGATGTATATTTATCGAAATGCATACTTAATTCATATTTACATTAAACAATATAGCTTGTGAAACTTTATATATTTTTAATGTAATAAATGTATTTACAATCTAAATCTCGTAATCATGTTATATGCTAATGTGATAGAGAAACATTAAAACAATAAAATATGGTTCATTGTATTTTAAATATAAGCCTGACTTACATTCTATTTACATTACATTACATTACATAATTAATTACATTCCAAATTGATCGAAATATTTAATTGAGTATTTCATTGTAATATAAATATGTTTAATACAAAATATTAATTAAAATTTAATATAATATTAAATTTAATTCAACACATGTAATTTAGATATAAGAATTTATGTGAAATTAAAATTTTGAATTTTTATATGTAAAAGCTTTTAAATATAATAGCAATGAATATTCTTTCTAGCAAATTTTATAATAAAAATATTTTAAAAACATTCTTTAATATATTCAAACTATTCAATAAGTTTATAAAATTTGCAATACTGTAATAGAACTGTAGGTGTTTTAAATATTAATGTAGGATATTTAATTGAATTTATAAGATGATAAATATATATTTAAAAATTAATCGCTTAAATAATACAATTATCAATTCAATATATCATATGCATTTTTTATGTGTTTTGTAAAAAGTAACTAAAATTCAATAAAAACAGGCTATTGTATATATAACAAGAATTCATTATACTCGAATATCATATGCAATGTTATAATTAAATAAATTCAAAAGAATATTTATAGTAATCACTTTCGAATACAAATATTTAATTAATTTATAAAATAAAATCAAATGATAAATAAAATAACTGAACTAAAGTACAGGCTATTGGCCGACTAAATGTACATGTTACTACTTGGAATAAATAATTCGGAAATAGCATTCCATATTTTAATATTTGTGAATAATGATAAAATACAATATTCTTACATTTTGAAAAGAAAAACTTAATTTTTAAATATTATAGTACTTAAGAAACTATCGAGATTTAAACTAATGTATATTTATAACTTTAACATGTTTTGAGAAAAAACGTAATTTCATTTTTTTTTTTTTTTCCCCCCATTGAATTCCACTTGTTTATTACATATTATATTTATTAATATGAATGTGTCCAAATGTATTATAATTTATACGAATATCTTTAAAAACGAAATTTTATTTTGCAATTGGTGTGTTGAC